TTTACTTGAGATAAACCCCTGAAAGCTAGACATTTACTCCCTGAAGAGGCCAATTTGTATGCCAAGATTCTCTGTGCAATTATTGTTACATTTGCCCCTCTGTCTACCAAACCCTCAATTACAATGTCATTTATTTGTATTTTTAACTTTGGTCTTTGATCATTTATAGAAGTTTGCCAAAATATTTGCTTTGTGGTTTCTCCTGAAAATTTTGTTTTATCTTCTAATGCTGTTCTATCATCCAGATCAGTATGGTTTTTTATAGTAGGTGTTAAGTCATTTAATTGTTCTGTGGAAGAGTTTCCCCTATACTGATAGGGTATGACTGAACGAAATTTGATGTGAGGGCCTGCAAGAGACCCCACTATGGTGTTTCCCAATGGCAGGGGTTTACCTTGCTTGTCCCATGTTGATCTGCATTCATTAGTCCAGTGTTGGGCTTTGCCAAACCTTCTGAATATTTCAGAAGTCTGAGGCCTTTTGTTTGGATTTTTTTTCTAGAAAAATCATTGTTTCTAGAATTGCCTTGCCTACAATCACTTTTCAGATGACCTGGTTTAGCACAACTAAAACATCTAACCTTTTGATTTTTCTTAAAACTTTTAGAAGTCACTTCTATCCAAGTATCATTAAAGTGTGAGATTCAATATCAGCTGTATTTCTAATCTGTCCATCCTCTGGGTGCTGATCTTGCCATTAAAGCCCTGATTCCCCTTTTACATTCTGAATTAGCATTTTCAAAGGCCAAAGATTGAATTAATATTCATTTAACTTCTTTATCTGAAGTCATTCTATTTACAACTGAAGTCAATCTTTGTAAAAAAAAAATCAATGATGGCTTCTTTGGGGCCTTCTATAATTTTAGTAAATGTCTCAGCCCTCTTTCCTGATTATTCAATTTTTGTCCCAAGGATTCAAATCTGCTATATGGATTAGGGCCAAGGTGTGATCATGAAATGTAACCCATCTTTCTGTATCAGCATAATGATCTTCATCGAGGACTTGATCTTGGAAAAATCACATAACCTCTAATACTACCTCATTGTTCGATGGCTTTAGGTTCATCTCTCCATCAGGTTTTCCACTGTAACTGAGGACCAGCTTCCAATACTACTGTAGCTAGTCTTGTGGAATAATTCTGTTCCTAGTGGACTGTTAATTTAGCATCTGCTTCACAAAAGGTGAATGCATACTATATGTAACTACTACTTCCTTAAATTTTTTCAAATCTAACATTTTGTTTTGTTTTGTTTTTGTTTTTTTCAAGAAAGGGTTTCTCTGTGTAGCTTTGGAGCCTATCCTGGAACTTGCTCTGTAGATCAGGCTGGCCTTGAACTCACAAAGATTCACCTACCTCTGCCTCCCAAGTGCTGAGATTAAAGGCATGTGTCACCACCACCTGGCATGTTTCCCATTTTTATCGTGGGGAAAAATAAACTCTTCTCTCCATTTTCTTAAAAACTGATTCCTCCCTTTAAGAATTCCCAGGTGTCTCACCAGATCTTTTGATGATGACAGTGAAGTGTGAGACTTACTGAAGCTTCATCGCACACCTGGGTGGAGAACACAGGCAGTGCACAGCCTGACTGAGGGCGGCTGCAGCTGCTCACCTGTAGCTGTGAACTGAGAGCATGTGGCAGTTGCAACAATAGAAGTCAGAGTGTGTATAAAGGCAGTTAACCTAGTGTGGCAGCAGCCTGAGGAGAGGGTCCAGGGGAAGCCCACAGCCCATGGGAAAAAGGAGCCAAGGAGCCAGCCGTCTGAAAGGCAGACACAGGGGAAAGTGCAGGAGCAGCACATGTGACAGGCAGGAAGTGAGAGCACAGAGCTGTCTAAAGGCAGAGCCAGCCAGTAGTGGGCCATTAGTTCAGGCAGTGTTTGGAGCCCAGAGACCTGTTGAGTTTGGGGCCTGTGGAGACTGTTGTAGAAAGGCTGCAACAGGAAAATCCCAGCCTCGCTCAGAGGGCTTGAGGCACTAGAGGAAAAGCCAGCTGACTCGGTTTTGATGGCAAATAAGACAACAGAAAGTGCAAGGGGAAAGCTTGGAGTGGAGAGAGAAGCAGGCAGGGATAAGCCGAGGAATGGGATATCTTTGGAGACCGGAGGAAGGAAAGGGAGGAGTGCCTCTGTCCTTGATCCATGTGCCCACAAAATTGCAAGGGTTTCTTTTGCTAGATATCTACGGAGTAAAAGGGCCACTTTTTGAGTGCTAAGATGCACCAGAGTTAGAGTCTTCAGTACATCTCTTCTGTCCTTGGAAGTCAGGAGCCAAAGTTGTTCCCAAGATGATATAGTTGCTGACAGAGGTCTCTAGGAGGGAAGGGTCTTCACCTAAATTCTGTCACCAAGCAAGGGACACAGTAATCCAAGATGAAATTCTCAACCTGTTGACAGGAATAGACTCGGGAGTCTAGTGGTACAGCCACCAAAAGGAAAGGAACGCTGCGAACTAAGCCAAACTATATGGAATGTGCCTACTTACCATCCACAGGACCATGGCCACTGAAGGCAGTGGTGGGTGTGTTATCCCCATCCTCAAAAGACAGAGTTGTCACATCACCAGGGAGGCTACCTGGAAAACAGGACCCCAAGAAAGACACAGGGATCACCCAATGACAGAGAAATGGAATGAGATCTACATGAACAGCCTGGACATGAGTGGGGGTAATGAAAGGCGAGGGTTGAGGGAAAGAGAGCTTGGGGGAGCGGGAGATCCCAGCTGGATCAACAACAGAGAGGGAGAACAAGGAATAGGAGACCATGGTAAATAAAGACCACATGAGAATAGGAAGAAGCAAAGTGCTAGAGAGGCCCACAGAAATCCACAAAGATACCCACACAACAGACTGCTGGCAGAGGTCGAGAGACAGCCTGAACTGACCTACTCTGGTGATGGGATGGCCAAACACCCTAATTGTTGTGCTAGAAACCTCATCCAACTACTGAGGGATCTGGATGCAGAGATCCATGACTAGGCCCCGGGTGGATCTCTGGGAGTCCAATTAGCGAGAATGAGGAGGGTTTATATGAGCGAGAATTGTTGAGACCAAGGTTGGATAAAGCACAGGGACAAATAGCCAAATGAATGGAAACACATGAACTATGAACCAATGGCTGAGGGGTCCCCACTGGATCAGGCCCTCTGAATGGATGAGACAGTTGATTGGCTTGATCTGTTTGGGAGGCACCCAGGCAGTGGGACCAGATCTTGTGCTCATTGCATGAGTTGGCTGTTTGAAACCTGGGGCCTATGCAGGATTGTTTGGCTCGGCCTGGGAGGAGGGGACTAGACCTACCTGGACTGAGTCTACCAGGTTGACCTCAGTCTGTGGGGAAGGCTTTGCCCTGGAGGAGATGGGAATGGGGGGGGGGGGTTGGGGGGAAGGTGAGGGGGACGGGAGGGGGGAGAAGAAGGGAATCCGTGGCTGATATGTAGAACTGAATTGTATTGCAAAATAAATTAAAAAAAAAAAAAAAAAGACAGAGTTGTGATGAGTGACACTCAACAGTCATCACTAGTGTCCTGGGGAATGCTTAGGATGTCTAGTAAGGGGAAACTCATTAATTAGCCACAGTAGGATGAAGTGAGTAGGCACCGGATAGTCCAGAAAGTGTGAAAACTTGGTTGGGGGTCCTGTAGATTGATCTGAGTCATGATCCAAGGCAGAGCAGCCATGTGGTGGGGCAGAGCTCAGAGTCAGTACAGAACATGCCAGACTCCAAGTTCTCAGCACAAAGAGTATTTGTTACCCTTGAGGGCAAGTTGGAAGTGGAGAGTGGGGGATGCTGCCTCTGGAATGGATAAAGACACTCAGAAATCAACAGGCTTTTTTTTTTTTTAGGAGAGAAGGGGAAGTCTGGGCTGGGGTGAGTTGGTAAGTCCTGATTGGACAGATTATTCAGTGTAGCCAAATAATGAATTTTGATTCTTGGACCCTTGTGTTTTGATAGTTGGACCTTGATGTCAGTCTCAAGAATGAGTCAGTGCCCAAATAAGGGAATAGCGCTTGGAGGCTAGTTTTAGGAATGTAATCTAAAGGTTTACCAACTGAGAGAGAAGGGGGAAGGGCAAAACCTGTCTGCAATGCTGGGTCCTGCTTGAGAAGCCTTCAATATAGATCTTAGCTTTTATTGGTCAAATTTCTAAAAAAAAAAAAAAATCATACAAAAGAGTATATGAGATGAGGATGTGGCCAGAGGTAGAATGCTTGCCTATTATGCATGAGGCAAACTATCATGCATTAGGTTTGAATGTCAACATTGTACCAAACAATGAAATAAACAACAATAACAATACACACATGCACAAAAACATACAACCAGCAAGAAAACTATTTTATTTGCTTTCTTAACAATAAATTCTACTCATAATTTTCCTCCCAGAAGTTTAGTTGTAAATGTCTTTTGTTTGATGCAAGTGTATTATTTTCCATTTGATTATATTTAGAACACAAGGAATCACTATGAAATAAACTTTCTTGGAGACATAAGAAAGGAAATTAGAGAAAACATATTGAGGTGATTCTAGTTCTCCCTAATTTCTGTGCTTAAAAAAGATGTTTTAGTATGATGAAGCAGTTTTGGTAGAAAACTAATTTGGATGTATGTTGTCATTAGCTCTCTAATAAAGAGCATAAAATTATCTACTTCAAACTTATGGCCTGAGGGAAAGCCAAGACCTCCTGATAAGGTGGACTGCTGTATATCCTGAAATAGTTTCTTATCATAAATATTTGGAAGAGGAAGACAAATTCTTGAAATGTGATTTGGCTGGTGGCTTTTGTCAAGGTAGAGGGTCATCTGGCTTTGTATTGTCCATCAAGTTAAAGTATTCTCAAACTCAGGCATGCCATGGTGAGTATGCCAAACAGACACAAGGCATATTTAAGTACACTTGCACTGCTTTTATTATTGGACTTGTTTTATCCCATAATAGAGATTTAAACTGTTCCCACTGAACATTAAAACTAATGCCACACAAAGAAAAAACACACACCAACTGTGTTTTAAAAGAACCAGTATTTATTAAGAAATTATGTGCTGAATGTGCCTACAGCCAGTGGGGATGGTCTCTCCCATTTCCACTGCACAAGACAATAGCCAAGAGTATTTGGAAAACACAATGCTTGGGAATGGAGGATTCTGAGGACTAGGAGATGAGATGGAGGGGTGTGTGCACTAACTGAAACTTTTGGATCCCAGGACAAGACAATCTTTTCCTTATTAATCTGCTTCTCATCTGCTCAAGTGCTGAAAACTGTCCACAGAATCTCACAGTCAGTCTCAAGTAATAGGTGATGATTGGATCATTTCAGCTCACTAGTGCCAAGCATGCTCACATGTCAAACCAAAGTCCTTAAATGGTTGCATCACTTCTGAAATAACTGCATTCTTTTATTAATAAAATGGTGCTTATAGAGGGCAGAAATATAGCTTTTTCAAATAGTTTTCCACATGGTCTAAGGTACTTTAGACTATAAATTGAAAATAAATTATAAAAACTAGCATACAATGTATATTCTCCGTATGACATTGTTGGAAACAAGCTTTAAATGTTGGATTGCAATACCACATGACTATGTGATCAACAATGACACATGCTAATCATAAAAATAGCTTTTACAAATATACATTTGTATACAGGGTCTCTCTCACCATCCATTAATGTCCTTCACACTTTAAGACTTAAAAAACATAAATAGCAAGAGGGGAAACACATTTACAATGTAATCCATACAACAACCATTGTACAGCTTGTAACACAGAAGAAATGGCATGTCTAAAAGTGAACAATACTGTCCCTGTGACTGGAACTTTTATATAAATTGAATTGGAGGGGCTGCTGTTCAGAACGAAACCACCTTTCGCATTTCTCCACAAGTCACAGTTTCCTTTTCTTCTTTTACAATATTGTGTACAACTTCAGATCACTTTATCTGTAGAAACTGAAGAGAGAAAGAAATTACTTTAAAAATGCAGGGATTTGGGATTTGTTGTTCTTAGCATGTGTTTACATGAGGAGTAAAGGAAGAGAAAACTAAAGAATAACTGTAACTTCAGGTCACATATATTTTAAATAATAGTTTATTAATTCTTTGGGAATTGCTTGCATGAATACACTGTAGTTTGATCATATTCACCCCTACTCCCTCCCCAACTCCTCCCAAGACTAGTCTCCCTCCCTTCCTTCCTTGACCCTCTCTCCTCCCCTCCCTCCCTCATTCCTTCTTTTCTTTCTTCCTTTTGTGTAAATCTGATCACATCTACTTTGTGCTGTCCGTATACTGATGGGCATGGAGCCATTCACCGAAGCATCTAAGACACAAGCTGTAAGAGTACAGTAATTAAAAAACATTGATTAGAAAGAGATCTACAAGTCTTCACTGGCCCCACATACGTAAGTGCACATTCCATCAAAACCTTGTAAGTGTGTGAGAGTGAATTGTCCTTTGTAATTTATAGATTCAAAGATTAGTTTATTAAGATAATATTAATAAATAAGCAATGTGAAGAACTTCATACAAAATAAATTGTGTGGAATTTCAGAAACGGTATAACTGGAAAAAGTTATAAAATTTATAGATATACTGTGTTAATCAGTGACTTATTTTGAAGATAGATCTGGGCTCTGTGCTTCTAATATCATACTTGAAAATAAATGTTGCAGTGAAGTTATTTGGGAGGGTTTACTGAAGCAACAGTGTATTAACTTAAACACTGGGGTAGTTTTTTTATTAAACAGGTCACCTAATGTTTTTTTAATAAAATTTTTGAATTAATAGCTGATTTGAAATGCTTTTCTAATATGTAGTTATTTTTTCAATTATATGTAATTTTAAAATAATATTGGTTAATGAGCCAATACAAATGTGTTATTGTTAACTGTGAGGTGTTCCAAAAGGTCCCTTCATACATTGAAAACTAATTTCAAAATAATCAAAAATTGTATCAATTTTACAATTTTGTCAAAATAAAGAAACCAAATAAAACCAAAAAAATTAGACTTACTGATTCTCCTAAAAATTTCAAAGGTCTTGGACTCAGATGGAAAAATAATATATGTGTCAACAACCAAAGCCAAGGACGAGACTACATTTGGCAGTTAGATGGTGTGAACTGCCCTGGATGTGTTCAGAGGCAGATCTCTGTCTTGCACACAGTCACCTTCAACATGAACTCCGTGGACCTAGGTAGTCATTTCTGTTTCTCATCCTGTTCATATTTTATGCTAATGACTACTCACAGAGAAGTAATGCCAGTCATGTGAGATGCCATTCTCTTTAGTAAATGCGTACTTTTAATTATACAAAAATTCAGTTACATATGAAGTGTTCATTAAACCATAAATTATACTGTAATATTTTTGTATTAAGAAAAAATTCTGTCAAAATTTTTTTCCTTAAATATTTAATGTAGTGTAATTGTCTTGTGACCATATTATTTAGAATGTACACTGAAAAAACTGATTGAGTCACAAGGTTTCAGTTTTCAGTTTTGTTTCTACTGAAATCTTACTATGGGTATTGTTGGAAGTCTATGGAAGCTAGGTCATACCAAAACGTTTAATACATTAGGTGTGAGGAACATTTTCATTCAAAGACAGACAAATGAAGTACCTATAAATAGGTTACTAAATATACTAAATTACAATTTATATTTGCAAGTTTGGGGTGCCAAATCATTAGTCAAGGACTCTTCCAAGTGCTTTGTGGAGTTTGATGCAGTTATATGTATTATCTTAAAATAAATTTCTTAAAATTTTGATTTACAACCTCAATAAATTTTACTTAACTAAATTTTAACAAGTGTTAATAAAACTTGCATCTGTACAAAACAACAAACTAGGAATATGACACAAATGTATTTTGATACTGTCTTTATTTCACTTGTTTTTTTAAAATTTTCTCCTTCTGTTATCTCTTGTTACTCAATCTATACTATGTGCTTCTTCAACATACATTTATAAATTAAAACATTCACTCGTGTTCTTCATCCAATTCTAGGATGTGTTCCTGTGCATAGGAAGAATCAATTTGCCAATAAAAGCATAATGTTTTGAACTCATGCTTCATATACTATATCATATACCATTGTTTGTGTGGAGTAAAGTAAATTTTGTACATAATCTGTCAGTACGTACCAAAATAATCAGTTATCATTGTGAGAAAGAATACCTTAAGCAAAAAAATTAACCCACAGATGAATGCTGTTGTGTCAAAATCAGGCAATATAGTATTAGAGGCTGATTGGTAACACATGTATGCTGGAGCTAAGGCCGCTGAAGTGATTGTAATCACACTCTTTCCCCAGAGCCTGAATTCATCATTTTCTTATTGCAAATGGAAAATGCTGAAATTGCTTTTGCAGCTGTGTTTGTAAAGTTTATACTCACTGTATTTCTCCAGGTTAAGTTCTAATAGATCAAATTGATTTAGGATATCCACACACCATCCTGCACATTTCAGAAGTAATGGGAAATCTGGCAATTATCTAATTTATTAAAAAGGAAAACACCAGGCTGTAGACTTTTGTTCATCTTCTATTATTTCTTTGTATACCTTTCTTTATTTCCTCCTTGTTCTTTAATTATAAACAATTTTATAAAATGATGATTGTAAGAAGAAAAAAAGGGGGCTTGGAAACAATTTATTGAAATCTTTCCATATAGCTTTAAACTCTATCACTACTATAAAGTGAAAGCTGTATTAATTTTACTTAGTGTTGTGCTGTTAATACCTATATGGAAACAAAATATGAATATAAATTTCCTTATCATCAAACAATGAAAAGTATATTTACAAAGATTTCCTAGAATTTCTAATGTAAGAAAAGGTTTCTCGTTGGCTTCTAGTGTCCTGGAGGAAAAGGAACAAGCTGTGACATTCTAGATGCCTTTTTCCCCCCTAAGGGAAAGAGTCATTTATGAAGTTGGTTTGCTTAGCATAATGAAAAACCAATTGTACTCTCTTGAATAGTGGGTAATTTATCTGCTCGTTGTATGGAATCTTGGATGCTTTTAAAATAAATTTGCTTGATGATAATTTTTTTTTCAATTCTCATTTCTTTTATTTCTGCAAATGACCCAGGAAGTCACTCAAACAGGACTGGATTCCTCTACTTCTGTTTCACAAGGATGAAAAGGACAGCGTGAACTGCAGGGCAAGTTGTTTTACTTTTAAAACCCATGTATTCACGTGTGTTAAAATAAAGAGGCAGAGTAAAAGGTGGGAAAAAGACACCTTGTTTACAATTTTACCAAAAAATAAATAATATTTTAAAGACAGTTTATGTGTTATTTATCACTGATCAGAAATGTTTGTCTTTCTAATTTGGGATGTGTCACTGATAAGAAATCAGATATTTCATATTGTCTATGCAGTACCCTTAAAAACAAAAATAAGAAAAAATATATAATATTGACTACAGACATAACAATAATAAGTACCTTAGCAACACTGTTGACATTTCTTTGGTAATTACTTAGACATTCTTTTTTATGAATAATGTTGTTATATTGAGCTTGAATACAATGCTTATTACACATGAGGTAACAAATATGTTATATTTCTAATAACAGGTTCTCACAATCTATGTTTATTATTAGTCAGTCATATCAATAAACTCTTGGGAACAAAATTTCTTTTTACTGTCAGACCCAAGGATCACCTCATGTAAACTGTAATTGAATGAGAACCAAGTTGGCAAATAACTTTCACGATCTGTTAAAAATGAAGGCACATGTGACATCCTGTAGTTCTTGAAACGGGGTAGATTAGGTTTCTAAGGTGATTACCATTGAGGTTATTGGAGGGTACAGCAGGGAGAATGGACACAACCTAAAGAGTAGTAAGCAATTAAAACTTTGGCAGTGAGCTGTTTAGTTTGTTTTCTGTCCTTAATTTTAAACATCAGTGCTTAGATGATAAGTAAACTATAAAATTTCTCAAGAGAGGCAGTTGACTTGTAGGCATTTGAGACATAACTAAAATATAACCAATGCTTATAAATCAGACAAAGAAAAAGGTTATTAATCAGAAAAACCAGAGAGTTTTGGAGGAAAACTTAGTTGTGTAGAGCCAAGAACTGTCCAGAAAGGTATCTTAGTATTAGACAAGAGCCTGGCCTCTGACAGTCATGCTACTACAGATAGATACATCATAAGCCCAAGCATATTAAACCGTAGCCAATTCTGTTTTAAATCCATGTTCTCCAAGAAAAATATCTAACCTTAATTTCTAAATCTTACCATTTGGAAGAGAATGCCTAGGCCAGAGATTGTGCAGGTTTAGCTATCAATCTGACAGCAAAATCAGGATCAGACCTTCTGAATTTTTTGCCACTCTGTGCTAGTTTCCACTACTGTAAGAACTGTTCTGAGTAAAATCCACTTAGTATAAAAAAAAGTTATCAGCATTGTTGTTTTAGTTTCTAAGGATTTGGTACATGGTTGGTTGGCCCTTTTAAACCAACTATTGCTTTTAAATTTGCAGTAAGGGTGAAATATCACAGAAGAATGGCATGGTGGAGTATTGGACAAGCCTAGGCTCATGTCTAATACTAAGACAACTTTGTGGATAGTTTTCGGACGAACACAAACAAATTTCCGACTCATGGCAGTTGAGAAGCAGAATTAAAGAGAGGGAGTGGGGACAAATTCTGCCATTTAAAAGCATGCCCAGGTGACTGAATACTTCAACCAGACTCCACCTCCTGATCACTCATTCAGTTACATTTACCATTCAATGGGGTTTGCATCCTTGCAATCCAGTTACTTTTTAAAATCATCTTTGGCTAGGAATAAGCTTTAAAAACTGGCCTTTTAGGAAAACATATATTTTCAGCATTCTAATATAATTGATTATCAAACATCTGTTTGTCATTTGCCTGAGGTGTTGATACCTAAGATTTCTGGATCTTTAAGACTGTCTCAGACTCTGGTCTGTAG